CTTTATAGTTATACAGTTTTAAAAACTTTATTGAAGCCGTCAACGGCTTCCACTTTAAAAGCACGTTGTCTTCCAATGTACATGTAGAGTATATTTTTAAAGTTGAAGCCGTTCACGGCTTCAATAAAGTTTTTAAAACTGCGTAACTACAAAGCGTTGATTTTAATTATTTATTGAATTTTTAATAATACACAAGTGCTGATCCTTCATATTTACAGTCATGTGTATTTGAACCAAAAACTGCACAAAACGATGGAATTGTACGATATTTTACCCAACATGTGATTAGCTAACTTGATATTAGATAAACTACTAAAACATTATACAATAGATCGCAAAAACTTCGTTTCACAAGCCTCCTCATTGTCTATCAATATGGCGGATGAAACTTTTGTGACTTCACATGAGAAGAGGCTATTTAAGTGTTTTATAATATATAACTTTTGAGGTCCTGTGTCCTCTATCCCCCCCCCCCCCCTCTCACAAAACCTTTGGCACCGTCCGTACCTATCTATCCCCGCGTCAAATTCTCAGTTTTGGATCTTTTTTAACTAATTTTACTTCTTCGCGAAAATTCTTTAATCTTCGAGCAATCCTAAATTCCTACCATAATGATGATGATCAACTCTTAAACTGTATAGATGAAACAGTATGGAAAAAACCATTTGTCTAGAAGAAAAACAGCATAGAAAACAATGGTAGAATCCAGTCAGCATTAAAAGTGAACTTATTCACTAGTTGTCACTAATGTTTTGCTGTTTCTACCACACCACACCATATAACGTTTTCACACAAGAAGAAAGAAAACAGTATATATACGTGCGCGTGTGTGTATATATACGTACATTTGAAACAAACGTTGTCGTTATAATGATAAGCAGTTAATATCTCATTAGAATTTTATGCTAAAACTGTTATTAGTAAACTTTGTATATCATAAAGATGTATCGAGCAGCTCTCCGAATAACAACAAGGGAGAGCCTAGTGTCTCTTAGAAACCAGAGCGAGCAAGAAATCTGTACGTGAACGTTTCAGCAATATGGCGTCGAGTGAGGTGAAGCTACAGCGCTGTAAATACGTACATGTATGTGCTCAGTGTTCGATCTCTCTTTTGTTGAGCACACAAATCGCTCTATAACAGGAATAATAATCTCTCTTTCGTCATTGTTTTGATAATGTTGGTTTGAATAATTTGTGTTTATGCTTCACCGGCTATGTTGAAATCACACTTTAAATAAACATAAATCTTAGGTGAACAACAATACTTCACATTCGTTACCTGGACTAGCACTGTCAGAGAAGAACATAAAATATGTTCAGTAGTATTTTTCTTATACAGATATACGTAGGCGTTTCACATTAATAAAGGTTGTATTTGTTTCCAACTCACAATCTATTGACAAACTGTAAAGAGTAACATAATACTGTGTGAAGTTATTTAGAACATTAAAGCAAAACTTAATTATTATTTTCAACGTCTAACTCTTAAGATACAAGTTGTGCAGTAGACGAATATATAGTAATGATTATATTCTGTTGTAAAATAACTTTGCGTATTACGTGTTAATCAATAAGCTTGAAACATTAAAAATTAATTTTAATAATTAAACTAAATAGTAGAAACATATAAATGGAACAACAAGTATAAGAAACAGTTTTAACTAAAATAGACAATTGTACAATTCTGTCAGGTTGTGAGAACGACGTGGTTTACTGGTTTGTGTTATGAATTTGAATGGAATGGTTGCAAGTTCGAAGCTTTTTCAAAGAGTAGGTGATAACAACACATTAAATGCTAATTGTATCATATACATGTACATAGCCTTGAAAAGGAGTCAGTGTGTGTACTCGGGCTGTTGGATATAAACACTGATCCAAGTGAAGTGATAAAATTAGTATTTTCTAGATTAAACCAAAATGCAAAGTAAAGTAAAATATATCAACTGCCTGACGTTCCCAGGTAAAAAATAGACCTAAACTCCAATACAGATAGAAGAACAAAGAAGCTTTTTTCGTGCTTAGTCATTATGTTCTTGAGCAAGACACTTGACTCCATATTTGCTTCAGCCTACTCAACTGTATAATGGGTACCAGCCAACAGCTAAGGACTAACCTGTCATGGACAGTAGCAACTGGTATTTCGGGCAAAGAATGAATTAACTAATAATTAATAATTTACTAACAGGTTATTAGTAGGTACAAGTTAAAGAAGCATATCTGAGAATGGAAACAGTAATGAGAAACTAATATATTTAAAAAATGTAGAATCGTCGTATAAGTTTATATCTGTACCTTTAAGCCTAAACACGGAATTGTACAGAAAAAAAAAGACAAAACAGAAAGTATCAAGTCATAAATAACTTTTTGTAATCATAATTTAAACCAAAGAAGAGGGTAGCTGAATAAAAACAAAAATAGTGTCAAGATATAAGTAAGTATTTCTAACGATAATCCAAACGAGTTAAATAGAACACAGTCTAATATAGAACATACTAGAGTCATGTTAAGAGTAAATACTTATGAATCCACTAAACTGGGCAGTAGAATAATATAAGTAATAAAATATAAAAAATAGTGTCATGTTATGAGAAAATACTTATTAAACCATTGATCTGAACAGTATAAGAATGCAGACTAACATAGAACAACAATAGCGTCATATTGTGAGAAAATATTTATTAAACCACTGTCTGGATAGTAGAAGAATACAAAAAATGATCTAACAACAATAGTGTCATCTAATGAGAAAATACTTATTAAACCATTAATCTGGACGGTATAAGAATATAGAACAATAACAGTGTCATCTTATGAGAAAATACTTATAAAACCATTGATTTGAGCAGTATAAGAATATACACTAATAATATAAAACAACAATAGTTTCATGTTATGAGAAAATACTTACTAAACCAGTAACTGGAAGTAGAAGAACACAGAACAACAATAGTGTCATATGATGAGTAATTACATTTTAAACCAATGAACTGAAGAGTAGAAGAATGCAGACTAATAAAGAACATCAATAGTGTCACGTTATGAGTAAGTGTATATTAAACCAATGAAGTGAACAGTAGATGAATAAAGACAATTATCTAACTATTGTAGTGCCACGTTACAAGTAAATACGTATCAAAGCACTGAAAAGAACAATAGAATAATACAGACAATTACAGAATAACAATAGTGTCATGTTAGGAGTAAGTGTATATTAAATCAAATAAAGAAAATTACAAAACAACAATAGTGTCATTTTACGAGCAAGTACATATTAACAACCATTGAACTGGACAACAGAAGAATACAGACAATTATAGAACAACTTTATTATTATGTTATAACTAAACATTTATTAAAGTACTGAGGTGGACAGTAGAAGAATACCGAAAATTATAAAACAACAGTAGTGTCATGTTACAAGTAAGTACTTATTAAACCACTGAACTGGACGATATAAGAATACAGAAAAATATAAAACAACATTAGTGTCATGTTACGAGTAAGTACTTATTAAACCATTGAGGTGGATTGTGGGAAACTTTGCCGATAGGTATATTATTATATAAAATAAAAGATAACTTTACAGCAATACAATTCTAGGAATGAAATAGTCCTAACAAATTAATTAGATTTATAAAGGCCTACAAATAAAGAAAAATTTAGAGCACTAATACTGGGTGAATATTTTATAAAGTCCTGGAAAATTATAATCATTGAAATGAACTTATACAGAATACAAACAGGTAGAGTTCTGCATCTAATAGAAATCTAGCGATGTATGAAACTACAAAATCCGTTACATAAAGATAAAGTTGTAATGGGATTATACTATACAGACAGATTAATATTGAAATTGACTTGTACAAAGTCTACAAGAATTAAATAAACATCTACAAATTAAATTAGTTCTTGCATGGTAATAAAAACTTTCAGCTGTAATAAATCGTACAAGGATAAAGCACAATAAGAGAGAATCTGGAAAATAAATAAAAGTTTAAAACTTTACTGAAATCCTTGAAGAAGTAGATGGAACGCCTACAAAGAGATATCAACCTAAAATCCTGTGAACGCCAAAAAACGAACAGTGAAACTGGTAACAAATAAAATGAGGTTGAAACTTGAAATACACTAAACACACAGAAAAGGTAGAAAGAAACATTTCGACAGAAACCAAGGTTTCTCTAATGGATTGATATAAAACAACAAAAATAATAAGTATAAGAGACTAACACAAGCAACAAAACAACAACAATTAATATGCACTAAAGAACCGATAGAGGTAAAAGTTAAGATACTTCTAGTAACCAACAGCAATGAAGAAACATAAAAACATATCTATATATATGAAATTGACAGAGTGATAGAAGACACGAAAGTACCTGAAGAGATCATCCACCATGCAGACAGAAACCGCTTTAGAATGGTTGAAACGAGCAAACAGATATAAACCAACAGTACTGAAGAATGGTATAAACAAAGTGACTCAAACCATAAGATAGACAAATTCAGTACACTACCGTTGAAATCCACAAACACGTGAAAATTAACAGTGATAGATTTCATTACATATTAATAAATAAATAAAAATGAATGATTGACAGAGATCAGTAGTCAAGAAAAACTACAGTAAACAAATCTACGCACTACGGAAGATTTATCATGGTGTAAAAATACAACAGAAAACTAGCAGATTTAAATCTTAGGACACTAACCATCGTTTAATGTAAAAACCTGAAGATAGATTGGAACAAAGTTTAAACCAATAAAAGCCGTCAGTCTAACGGAAAGCTGGAAGTATATTAAAAGAAAGAAAAAAAAAAGAGATAAAATATTTCAAACACCAAAAAATAATGTCCTGTTTCGTTCATTATCACGAATATGTTTAATGTGAAAGTTTAAACATTATCCCGTTTCTTTCATTAACACGTGTATGTTTAATGATAGTTTAAAGAATGACCCGTTTCTTTCATTAACACGTGTACGTTTAATGATATTTGTGTATAAATTTGAAGTTTTTATGGACCATGTTCGAGGTACCGTGGAGAGCATAGACCACGATTAACATAATCTAGAAGTATGAAACAAAATATCGAGTTTATTTTAATCGTATTCCTTTCTGGAATTTCCAAAAATACAATGTTATTCTTTCGCTAATACTGTTGAAATAGTACAATAACGACTTTAACGTTTTGCTTCTTTCACTGATGTGGAGACCAAGAAATTAGGTTTCAGTAACGTATAATTCCTTACATATATAATTAAATGAAAGTATCTCGTTTATGATTTAATGTCCTTCTACTGGTGTGTGCACGTGGAATACTAATGGTGTTCTCTTTCTTTGTGTGAAATGATGTTTTTCAGCATGAATTTCACACCTACCTCTATTAAAAATATTCAATGGAGTCAAACTAACATTGAGAAACTCAGTTTAATTGATATTACTACTCTTGGATATATGTGAGAAATTGGCTCTCTTTTGCAGGATGTGGTGGCCCTAAAAAGGGCCGGTTTGATAATTTGCAGCTCAGTCCTTTAACCTCCGAAACCGTAAAGGGTACGACCTTGTCTCTTTAGGGCATATACTACGTCCATGGCGGTTACAGTCTTCCGTTTGGCATGCTCTGTATAGGTTACAGCGTCCCGGATAACGTTCTCCAAAAACACCTTCAAAACACCACGAGTTTCCTCGTAGATAAGACCGGAGATACGCTTCACTCCACCACGACGTGCCAGTCGTCGGATTGCTGGTTTGGTAATACCTTGGATATTATCACGAAGCACTTTTCGGTGACGTTTGGCTCCTCCTTTCCCAAGACCCTTTCCACCTTTCCCTCTCCCAGACATGGTGATTAGAGATTATAGCAAAACTATACACGATACTCACACGTAGAAATTTCAGAAATGAAATTCTACTTGTAGTAGCAATATAAATACACTGAGCGCGGCCCTCTAAGAAAGCTAACAGTCAAACTCGGTGATGCTGTTGTACTATATTGTTCATAATGTTTTAAGGGCGTATCTGTACCATGTTTGTATTTTATTGTTATGAAGTTTAATATAGTTCTGAACAAAATGGGATATTATATAGGGTTTACACACACACACACATATATATATTCAATGTATTGAAAATCTTTATGTTGGACTTCCCTCCCATGTCTGATTAGAGTACATGAATAATGTTTCATTATTCCCTATTTAACTGACAGATTAGTCCCCCTGTGGGACAGCAGTAAGTTTACGAACTTACAATGCAAAAATCCGGGCTTCGATTCCTCGTGGTGGACACAGCAGACAGCCCAATGTAGCTTTGCTTTAAATCAAATAAACAAGCTGGCGATTTAACGAATATGATATTTTATTTAAGTATTTGTTGAGTTCCTCTGGTGATGTCACTTCTTGAGTATAAGACCACAAAGTGATATTTAAGAATTCGAGGAGTTAGTATAATACTCTAAGCTTTTTTCAGTTCTTAACTTTAAACGTGGCAGTTATTTAGCTTTAAAGGAAAAATTCACTGAACTTTCCCAGCTGGGGTGTTCGAGGATATAATATCCCCCCTTCGCTCCGCTCGTGTTAATTATATATAGCAACAGTGAAAATTGTAAGCTCCATTACGTTGTTGGCAGGTTTTTAGCTTTATTGTGAAAAACTAGGGGTGCCCAGAGATCACGCGATCTTTCTTCATTGTGAGAATTGCTACAAGGAAAAAAAACAAGAAAAAAAGTTGTTGTAAGCCTGGCAAGCTATACCAACTTTGTTGCAAAACGAGATTGAGAAGCTTCAATTTTAACCAATCACATTTCAAGATTAGGGTATGCGTTAGCCAATCACTTAACAGCTGTGAGACTACAGTACGCGTATATCTACACATGCGGTTAGGAGGTATGTTTTTCTGCTTGGGTTTTTCGATGTTGTTGGCTATAGGAATACCATGACGAAATGTTACACCTATTATTAAATTCTTTTCATATCTTTTTTTTTCTTTCAATACACCGAAAATAAGTAACGACTGCCATTAATAGAGTCGAAAAAGAAAAGAAACTTTCCTCAACTGAAGTGATCAGGGATATTGTTTCAGATTATTGTACATTATGGGGATCTTATTGTTGAAGGGTTTATGTATTATTGTATACGCTATAATCTATATCAGTGTTGAAAGATTTGTTATTTAGATTATTTTTCATTTCTGTTTGACCAAGTTGATAAAAAAAAATATATATTTGTGCGCACATAAATATTTTCTTCATTTTTCACTGAACTCACGATGAGTTTAGAAATAAATAAATAAAATAATGCACAACTTGATATATTTCAATAATCAATGAAGTATCAGAATTTAGGCTAACCCAATCTAAGCACAAACCTCTATCAAACATGAACAAGAATATAACATTTTATTATCTCAAATAATTATATTTATTAAATATTTAGATTACTAGCTGTTTGTTCTATATATGTATGTATTGTTAAATGATTTATTTATTCGGATTATTGTACATCTACAGGTTTCATTGTGGAATATTTTATGTATTCAAGAAGTCTGAGTGCTATAGGTCTCCTTATTAAAAACTAGTGTATAAAGATTGCTATATTATATATAGAATCTATATTATGAAAAGATTTGTGTATTCAATTTCATACTGAGTATCATAGATTTCAGTGTTAAATGTTTTGTGATCACTGTATGTTTAAATAATTTAATCGATGAATTATTTACATATACAAATCATTATATACAGCTTTGTATAACTGCACTGACATACGAAATCGTTGCTTAACAGCGACAATAACACCACTAACAACAAAAACGTCTGAATTGTGCTACTTAGTAATGAACTTCACTTCCTGACCGGTATTTTGATGACGTGGTCTAAGATGGTCAGGTTACTGACCTCTTCCACCCTCTCTTGCAGTATTGTTTATTTGGAAAAATACGTTCAATTCAAGGATGCGTCTTTGTAACAATCAACTAAATATTTTATCTAATTGAGAAAATAAAGGCATAATGACTTTATGACAAATATCCTAAATCAGGTGAACTCATCGAGTCTGTTTTTAGTTCTGATTTCAATCAGAAAAACTGAAAGATTCATGGCAGTTATTTAGTTTAAAGAAGTTAGCCGAAGGCGAACTATTCTAACTTAATCAGAAAACTAACTAGACTAAACTAGAAGTGGCAGTTATTTAGTTTGAAGAAAGAGAGAACAAGTTTTTAAGGTTGTCCGCTCTTCCCAACTGGGGTGCTCGGTAACTTTTGTTCCCCCTTCAACCCCGAACATGAGATTTGTTATATTCCTTGGATTTTGGTTTGTCGTATACTTTCTGTTTAAGTAAACGTCGGGAAGCCGTGAAGAGAGTCCTGCGTCGGGCAGGATTAGAACGTCGTTGATGAGGAGTCCGGCGTTGGCAGGAAGGTCAGGTGGGCTGATGCACGGGCAGGAAGATCCAGATATGCACATGACTATTGGGTTCATAATGTGTGTTTGTTTGATTGTTTAGAATGAATTTGTTGGGGAAGGAAAATGTTTTATTTATGCCATTTGCGATTGATTTATTTGTTTATTGACTTAGTTGTTTTAAATAAATTGGTTGTTCGATCAAGGGGGGGGGGGCTCCTCAGGGGAGCTAAGAAGCCCTGAATTATGGTAATTTAGATGTGGGGGAAACCGGAGTGCCCGGAGAAAAACCCTCTTTCACAGGACAGACGCCGAATATTCTATCTATCCTGTGCCCAGGCAGAAAAGAAATGCAGGATTATAACATAAATAATGATATTTTATGTGCGGGTCGTTACTGTGCTGGGTTATGTAAGCAGTATAGATTGTAAGGAGAAATATGCTTGGTAGGAGCGCTTGATATTTTGTGTAGTGTTGCTGTTAAGCTGTTTCATGTGTTTGCCTTGGTGTAATATTTGACGGACAATTTTGTTAATCTATTTTTGAGTGTGGGGAGGTTGCTTAGTTTATGAATGAATTTTTCGGGGGTAAAAATAGGTAATTTTAGTGCTAATCTAATGGCTCTATTTTGTTGTATTTGAAGTGTTTTGAGGTTGTTTTTGGACTAACTAACGTAGCACAACCGTACAGAAAAACAGAGCAAACAAGGATTACAGTGCCATTCCAGCAGCCAATGACAGGCAGCTTATAACACATTCTTCAACCAATGATACAACAGATATTATAACCAATAGAAAATGTTCCGACAACAGAGCAGTGCGAGTTGTGACTCATGCCAGTAGCTTGCGTGGATCAGTTGTGTACTTCACTCCCCCACACCCCTTGACAACATCTTTCTGGCAGATAAGCTAGACTTCTTGAACAGAGTTGTTTAAACGTTAGTTTAACAACAAGTAAAAGCTTGGAATGGTCTATTCTTTCATTGGGGGTGTGTGTTTGTGGGCCAGATTAGTTTTGGAGAATTCCACTCCTCATCAGTGACTCTGGACACGACCACCGAATGAAACTTCGGATCAAACCAAGCCTTTATAGTAGTGGGGTATCGAAACTTCTAATCTGAACTATTATTTTTGAAAGCAGGCATATTCTCTTCCTTACACTGCTTATGTATTTTTCCCGCCAGTATCACAACCGCCGTTTTTACCTTTTATATAGTTTTAACACCACTTTATCATATTTGCCACTCCTTCATTACTTGTCTATTATACCTTTCAGATTTCAGATTTTTCTCATTTTTTTTTAGTAATACAATTTCTTTTTTTTTTCTAGTTTGTATATTCATTTGAGTAACTAAATGTTCGTTTATTATTATTATTTCCGTTTTGATATTTTAAACTCTATACTATATTATTTTGCGGCGAAAAAATGATACTGTTTTTAGTGTAATCTGTACACTAGTTCTATTCTGAAACTACTCTTCACTACACCTTCAACTGCTGAACTGCTTCTGAGTCATCACATCAGTTGACCTGCATACTGACCTTGTTGCTTTACATAGTTTACTGACGCTGCTCAATATTCACCCAGACAGTTTCTGGTCTTTCCTACTTCTCAGGTAACTTCCACTTTTATCTTCTTAACGAGTTATCGTTGCTTCTTTAAGGCATTTTTTTTTCACTCAGGTACCATTATCATAGTTTTTCAATTTTATACTTTTCCAGTTTTTCTCCAAACATTTTTTTTTCTCATGAATTTTCATCCATTTTGGAGAATAATTAATTAAACTTCGTCTTGGACATTTCTTTTTTTGCGTCCGTAATTTTTCCATTTAAAATTTCTGACATCTTTCCAATGCTTATTTTAGTTGTAGTTTTCCATGTTTTCTTCTTCGTTCTTTCGTCTCATAATAGTTTACCCGTTTGCAGTTTTCCCAGTTGCAATTTTTATCCGCCGTCTTTCCAACACTTGCTTCACATAATGAGGAATATCTAATAATAAAAACAAAGTGGAAGATAAGAAATTCGGAATAGAAAATGGAGAAACTAATAATACACCTCATTCACGTGTGAAAAGGTGCTAAAGGAACGATTATGAGAAAACATAACAAATAAATCTAGGTTCTAGAAGGGGTGCAGCAGTAATAAGATTGAGACTGTCAGTGAAGCTACTGGGGGAGAGAGGTGTCGGGTATGTGTGAAAATCTCAAGAGGCAGGATATTCTGAGAGTTTCATTGTCGGTCAGATTTAAACTCAAAGAGCAACGTGGTGCTGGTGGCTCTGTTTGTTTAGTGTGAGTGTATAAAATCTAGGACTAATTAATTGAGATAATAAAACCTAATAACTTTATGACAAAAGTAAGTTAATCCTATAATAGCTGCTAGTGAATTTGAATTTACTGAGTTCATTTTTAATCATTCTGTTTATTTCTCTTGTCGCAGAAGTGCGGTGTATACTCGTTTTCTTATACCCAGTCAATCATGTTTTAAAATAACTCCAA